GGCACCGCTAACAGTGCTCAGGTGAGACTGTGAATGGCAATGAAAAATGACGGATGTGTTCTGGTTGCTCCACCTAGTGGCTGTTTGCCATTTCTACACTTGATCTTAGCCAAAAGCCTGAGAGGTGATTGCTTTTTCTCAGTGTTTTCTGAGGCACAAGGACACCGAGACTAAACTAGTTATAACTCAATAGCAGTCTTCAAATTTTCAAGTGGAGAGAAGAGTTGCAGGCCTCTCAGTTTGAATCCAAAGCTGGAAATGAGTATGCTTAGGAAGGAAGCTATGTCAAGGGCCAAAAAAGGTGATGAACAAGTTTGAGTGCAAAGACACAGTTCTTGAAGCAAATTAGTAGTTCTGCCAAAACACGCTTGACAAGAAAGTCAAGCAACCAGATACAGACACAGATGTGTGAATATGCATGTGGTTCATTTTTAATGAATCAGTTTGCCCTAGCTTAATTTCAACAACAAGCATTCCCAATGTTGTCTCAAGTGGTATTGTCTATTTATTTGGATATCCATATTAACATGGACATCAGTTTATCTGGATCCAGGAATATTTCAGAAGTTATAGACTATTTAAAAGTATGAAAAAATATGTTGAATCCCTTCAACATTTGTGACTAAAATTAGGGCAAAAGCGGCCAACGGTTTTTACTACAAATGCTGACTGTTAAAAATCATCATTGCACTCTCTTTCTAAACAGCATTTTGATAAAGGTGCCTTTTATGAACTTGAATATACATAACTCTATGAATATTAGTTAGACCTTAAGTTTGCATGTGCTTGAAATTACCACATTCTGTGAATAACCTTTTAAAAGGAAAAAAGAATGTGATTTAATGTGGTCCTTACGTGTGAGGTTTCTGAGATTAGTGCTCAGTTTAATTATTCATCCCTAGTATAAAAGGCTGGAGTAAATTATTACAATCATTTAGCACAACTTTGAACTATTTTGGCAAAAACTTTATCCAAGAAAATACAGTATCAATATAGAGCACATATTGAGATGCAATTTGACTTATTGTTAACTTCCAGTTCTGATTGCGACATTTTGACTGAGAACAGTTTTGCAGCAGTACGAAGCATACCTTGGACATAACACAGGTTCAATCCCAGATCACCACAAGACTGCATTGAAATAAAATGAACCACACAACTTTTTTGATTTCTAAGTGTATCTAAAATTAAACCCATCAAACATACAATAGAATTATGTCCATTAAACAGTGCACTATCTTAATTGGTTAATGAGGTTTCCACAGCATAAAAGAACTGTGTGAAACAAGAGCTGAAGTAGAAGACACATCAAGTTATCCGGACACTTACCCAAGATCACTCATGTACACACTTCTCTCAGAGTTCATATATTTGTGTAGAAAATACAAAAGTATCTGAAACTACCTGAGAACTCTCTTAAGAAACAATTCCTTACTTGAGTTCTTTGTAAATAATGAAACAATGCTATGATACAAAACATACAAAGGCTAACACTACATAGACTGTCATTAATTTAAGGAAATTTCCTGGCTTTCAGAGTCTCTAACAAAAGCCACCTAACAATCAATTTCTTATCAGCATTAACTCTATCCAAGTCTGATGCTGTTTTCTTTGTTTTTAGAATTAGTAGAAATTTTGAATGGGAACTGGGAATTTATGGAGAGGTATACTGTACACATTCCTTTAGTTTCACCAAGTAGTTGACAAGCTATCCATGAATTTAGCATTAGTTGACAGTGCCATTTCTCTTCATTTAATGGATCATTTTTCTTATGTTTTAGTGAAAGCTTACTGTAAATGAATTTTATTATACATAATAATAAACCACAATATCAAATCATTTTAAACCATATCTTTTGGTTGAGCTCAGGACTTTCCCACAAATAAGCAAGTATGGAAAAACAAATGTGGGGTCACCTTTGTGGCATTACTGGTAAAACCGCTGTGGAAGGCTGGCATCCCATATGGACGCTGGTTTGTGTCCCTCCTGCTCTTCATTTTAAAATGATGTGTCACTAAAAATGCTAATAGTAATGGAAGCCTTCAATGAGTCATAATAATTGTGTTGCTTTGAGTGTCTTCTCGTGATGCTCATGGCTGCTGACTGATTCAGGGTGCAGTTGCTCAAAGCCACATTACAGTGGCAGCTTCTTAGAATAAAAGCCATGAGATTTGCTGCATCTACAGACATGAAATCTTTCTTTGTAGAACACGATGCTATTTGATTCCATTTTACACACAGCAGAACTGCTTGAAAAACTGGTGTCAATCCTCTTAATCCCTACTATGATTTCTCAGCTTGTCTACTCAATACTCTGTTCTCACTTTACAGTGTCCACTGCGTGTTCTAACTGAACAGTTTCCATCTCAAGAAACCAGTGTCTTCGGTAATTCTAATTTGCAAGAAGCAAATCCTCAGCTATTAAGTTTCATCAGGAGATGGCAGCAATTCAGTTACATAGTTTTAGCTTCTAGTTCCATTTTTAATTCTGATTCTCTTGTTCTTTCTATAACCTCTGCAATTACCTCCTTCACTAAAGTCTGGAATCCCTGGAAATCACTAGTAAGGGTTACAAGCAGCTTCTTCCAAACCCCTGTTTAAGAGATGTCTCGACTTCCTGTGAATTATGAATGTTCTTAATGGTATCTGGAATGGTGAATTCTTTCCAAATGTTCTCATATAAAATGTATTTCTCAGGATGGTCCAAAGCCTTGGGACTCTGCAACTGTGTTGAAGACCCACAAGAAGTTCCTGGCTCCTGGCTTTGGATCAGCTCAGCTCTAGCAATTGTGGCCACTTGGGGAATGAGCCAATGGACAGAAGATCTTTGTTTCTCCTTTTATCTGTAATCTGCCTTTCCAACAAAAATAAATAAATCTTAAAAATGTACTTCTTAAATAATATGTTTTAAAGTTTAAACTATTATCTGATTCATGGGCTGTAAAATGATACCATGTTAGTTAGCATAACGAACTATTAAACTCATTGTACATTTCCTTCTTAGAGATGACCAGGTGCATTGTCAGTGAACAGTGGCCTTTTGAAATGATGCTTTTTTCAACAGCAGTGCCAATCTGATATTAGCAATATCGTGTTGTGAAGATATACAACATGTGGGTTTTTGATGTTCCTTTTGGAGAACATGGAGATTTAATGTAATTCTTTAGGATCCTAGAATTTTCAGAAAGGTAAATTCCAAATAGCTTACTCTTATTATTATTATTTCATTTTATGACAGTTTTATAGACTCTGGGATTCCCCCAACCCGTCCCTATTGATTGAAATCCTATATTGATTTCCTCCATAATACTACAGTAGGCAGTGACTTCATGAGCCTCTAATGGGAAAAGATAGCCAGCCTATCCTGTGAGGATCTGAAGCCAAGCATTGACCTCTAGCTATCAAAATCCAAAAGCCATATTATTTTATGAGACTGTGTTGTCTGCACACAAAAAAATCATTAAGTGAAACTAATGACCGACACGTAAAAACTGATACTATTATTTGGTTACTATTTTGTTTAATTAGGACCTAGAGGAATTTAGATTTATGTTTACTAGAATGATTATCATATTTGACTATTTTATACCTATTCATTACATTGTATTAAATCACTTTTATTTATATTGAAATAAATTTAACAGCTTTCCAGAAATGTTGTTTAAATAAAGAAATCCTATATTTCTTGACAGCCAGACCCTTGTTTTAATCACAGTTGTAATTCTAGTGATCAGAATAGTTTACAGAATAGGGGCATATTTAAATATTTACTGAATCAACTGGTAGCACTGTAGATTTGTTATTTAATATACAAATATGTTCTAATTATTTGACTTTACACTTGTCACACTTTTAAGGTGGTTTTACTTTTGCTTTCATTCTATTCTAGAAATCAGTTAGTAGCTGAGGAAATTGATATAAAATTCCAAACATGTAAATATAAATCCTATTAAGAAGTTTCACATAGATTAAAATATTTTAAAAGATTCAGAAATCTCCAAAAAGTATGTATCCCAATTTTGTATTCATTTTTCTTGTGAAATTGTTTTAATTTTCTTTTTAAACTGAAATCCTAAAAATATCTTGTGTACAGAATCAGAAAAAAAAATCGCAAATGACTAAGGCTACAGTCGCTTTGCTGCACTTAGATATATCAACAAAAAGGAAGAACCTGTGTGTCCATAAGCTCAGTTGCTATTTTTAGAAATATCACATCTACTTGTCTTAATAATAATAAATACACGTTGAATTGTATCTCAAGTATTCCAAGCAAAAACATCTCAAATATCCCCAAACCTTTATGACCCATCAGAAAAACAACTACTAAACAAAATAAAATAAACATCTAAAAATAAGAATATTAACAAACACTAACACTATAACACCATCATTCAATTTTTCTACAAGTACAAACAAAAACAAAGGGAAACACACATCGTGGAACTTGTCATATTATTAGTGGATTCAAAGCAGTGTTTCTATTTTCACAAACCTACCTTGCAGCTTGACCCTAGCCTTGGACACAGTTTTACTGAAAACCATGATGTTCAAAAAATACAAAATAATCAGGTATTCTGCATTAAACTAGGCAATTTTTAATACATCTGAAGTTTAAACTTAGTGACCTTACATAACAATAAGAGACCTGAGATTAAATATTCTAAAAGCACCTGAGAATTTATTCATATGATTCACATGTAAATAAAATCAGAGTCTAACTGTGTTTCCAAAGCTTTGAAACAAATGCTCCTCATGACAGGGCTTTCACAGAATCCTGACTTGGCCAGGCTTACTGTGGCCATTTACTTGCTATCTTCTGCTCACCACATAGTGTAAGGTGCTTTATTTGAGCTAGATGCAGTTGTTGATGGAATTACAACATAGCTCAGTCTGTCTCCTGACAGGAAGCATGCCACAACCACACGTCTCCTGGTTACCCTTTCCTGATGACCTAGAGCTCCTACAAGCTGCTTGTCTGGGAGGAGGAGTTGACTAGTACCTGTCATTTTCCGGAGATGCATGCTGGATTTGAATCCTGGGGCTAGGAGGTCGTCTCCTATCTAGGGAGGGGGACCATCTACCCCTGTTTGCCCAGTGAACAAGACAGGAAAAAACAGGACATTTAGTAACTCCTAAAACAAAAGAATACATGGAACAATAGGACTGGAAAATCATCTCAAAAAGGCAAAGTATAGATTTTGCACTGCATTGAGTTAATCCTCATTTTGATAAGCCTTCGTAAGATAGGTTATGCCTGTACAAATATAACCTGTAACTTTACAAATGGAAAATGTTTGGCCTCTATTGGGTGTAGTTATTTTTTTTCTTTTAAAATGTGCTTATGTGTGCACTGGCTTCAGTACACACATATGTAAACATGATTATAACTAAGTTTAGAGCTACATTCTTAAAAAGTCACTACTTAATAACCAAGTCTAATACTGTAAGTACCTATTTGATGTTAGTCATCAAAATTACAAGCTAGAGTAGCAAATTGGAGATCTGGAAAATTAATATAAAAAATAAAGGGTCACAGTTAAGTAGAAGAAATAAAAATATACTTTACTATGAAAGCAATATTATGAAGAATTAATCCATGGCAATTCTACCAATGAAGCCTTCAATGTTCTTTTCAAAAATTACAGGGCTGATTAACAAAATTTAAAAACAGTAAGGGAAAAACACTGATGTATAAAAATGGAGAAGACAAATGCATGAAATGACAATCTGGGGCTATATTTTAAAATTTCTGCTACTCTTCAACTGCAAAGTATCTCTCGGTTGTATAATTGTTGAAACACTTTTAATTTAAGCAGTTGAAGTATTTTTAATGACTAACAGTTAAAGTTGGGAACTTAGTTCATACTTTCACTAAATTATGTGGAGAATCTGTCCATGTATGAACACAAATTGCAAATACATATGTCAGAAAAAGAGGAATTCAGGGAAGGAACAGGACAGATTTGGAATTTTTTATGTATGAGATATGAAGATGTTCTTCTCCTTGTATTGGCTTTTTCATATGCAAAAGGGATCATCTTGAAGCACCTATTTAGGGATACGATTTTATAATTATCTGAAAAAATTTTTTCTCATTGTTCAAAACAAAATATATTTTTTACCATCATAATAGAGTTTATGGAATTTGTTAGATAATTAGGACAAAAGCTGTCGAAGAAGGGCTATTAACATATGACCCAAATACCTGAAGTCACCAGGTGCTTGGTTCTGAAATTCCCTTATAAGCTTTTGTTTTATCAGTCTTACTCATACTCAGAATCATTCAATTCATCTTGTAATGAAATTAAGAAGCAAGTGAAGATATTCAACAACAGAATTTGAGAAGGGAAGACTGTGGCATATACTCCTAAATGTGCCAGGTGCAAAATCTTAAAGTTCTGCACTGATTGCAAATCATTAAATCACCTCAATTTATTTAAATGATTAATCCAATCTGAATGCTTTAAGAATGCTTCTTTCATTAGTTCTTTTCACAGATAAAATTACTTCTTAAAAAACACTTCAAGAGCTTTCCACTACAGTATTTTCTACATTATGCTCAGGTGTAATGTAGAAGAGTTGATTTTTTTTGCTACTATTTGAAAACACAAAAATACAGCTGAAATTTTTTCTGTGAATATGTAATATTGACTCGAGAGAATTATGTATAACCTTGCTTCCTGAGGCAAAATTCCAGTCCTTGTGTTTACTTAAACATAAAATCAAAGAAAAAACCAAACATGTAATAATTATGAAACATGCAGTGAAATCATGGGGAAAGGTATACACTTGGAAAAAACAACTATGAAGCAAGCAGCTAACAGATAATTTTGAACAAATACTTTTAGCATAATAATGACATATCATTTCATACTCAAAGTCCTTCTGAATATGCTGACATGTAGTACCAATACAAGAAGTCTGCTTTCTTTCCTCTCACACATATTGGGTATAATGAGAATTAGATCAATATATATCAATATATTATTTTAAAAATAGATATAACTTAGATTCTATTATTACATACTTATATTTTGAATATAACCCCGTATTTCATTCCCTTGTAAAATGTACAAAACTTTTTATTTTTCCTGTCACAGATATTAAAATCAGAATCTTCATTTCAACCCCACCCACCCGCAGCCCAGTTACTAGAAATGCACAAAACTTTAATTTCAACAAATACTTCCATATTGCAAGCTAATATGGCAATCCATATTGAAGATGCTAATAATGAAGTTGAACTCTAGCAACCCTTCTGGGACTTTTCTTTCAAACCGGCTTACTTGTAAGTTATACTACTTATTTACATTTTAATAATCTGTCAGTATTTAAATAGCAGGTATTATAAGATCATAGATTCAGTGACAACTATTTGTTGGAGGCCTACTTACATATTTTGCTCAGAACAGAAGAAGGATCAATCTGATGGATATGAGTTTGAGGGGATAAACTAAGAATTCCCAGTCTATGGTGGTGTTTTGCTTGTTTGCTTTCATTTGTTAAAAATTTTATCCAATAGGCATATCAGAGAATTAACAATAAATATCTGTGAATATTAAGATAGATATAAACAAGTAAGGCCCTAAGAATCATAAGAATTCAGAAAAGGATAATGAGAATTTTAATTTTTATTTAGTATTTTAATGATATCCATGATGGAAGCCTTTGATAAGACACAAAGGACTTAAAACTGATAGGCCTACAGAGCAATTAAACAGTTGTTGTGTTACGGCTTTTTTCCTCCCTGGAACTGATCAATCTTAAAGCAAATGTACATGGATGCTTCAAACACATAGTTGTACGTATACACATCTTTTAAAGGTGTGCACATCTTGGGAAAACATGACTGAGCAGTTACCTAAAAGAGAGACCATGTGAAAAGTAAATCATTTGCTTTACGTGTTGTTCAGGTGTGGCACAAATCAATAATATTTGTGAGGTGTTACAGCATTAGAAATCAAGTAAATGACATTCCTGAACATACAAGAAGGCATTTTTTGCTCCCAAGACATTAATTTGATGGTAGCAAATGGAAGTTTTTTTTCTAAGCTCACCAAATCCCCAAACTAAGCATTTAATATGAGGGGGTCCCGCTAGAGACAGAAAAGACAAATATCCCATTATCTCTGCCTTCCAGTGCTGTACAACAGGGTCCAAGAAACTTATAAACTGCTAAGCAAAACTATAACCTATTTTAATAGATGCAGATGTTTTTTTTGTTCCCAGAAATGCAAATACTTCTAACTGGTACAAAAAAAAAAAAAAAAGGTGGGGAGGCAGCGGGCAAATGTAGTAGTGGGGATGGTGGTGTCAGGCATGGCTGCCAAGAAAGGTTTTTCAGTTTTTCTCACAAACACACACACACACACACACACACACCCCACAGCACTGACCTAAGTTTTTAAAGAATAAGTAGAATTGTAAAATAGGTAACAACACAAGAAGGCTATTTTAATCTTACTGGAGGAAAATCTGATGTATAAAAATAATGAAGATTGTTATTTATATTATTATTCATATTACTATTGCTTATAAAGCAATCAGTGGGGACAGGCAAGGGTGACACTGAAACTGTAGAGGCACTGTAAGATGAGAGGCTTATCTAGAAGGTAATGGCAGGGTGTGTTGATTCATTGATTTTTGACAATTGAGCAGGACGGGAAGTAATTCTATGTGATGAGCCTGGTTATAAATGACAACTGTCAAAATGAAATTAAAACTTGCTACTCAGGATAAAAATATGGCCTGCTCAACCACAGTCGGGAGCTATCTTCACACACGCTTTGGGAAGACAGAAGTAAGGGTGTAGGATTTCCAGGCAGGCAAAGGAGGCAGACATGGATCATACTTTGATGAGCTTTCACTGAAGCCAAGAGAGTTTAAGCAGGAAGACAAGTGTCTCAGAAGAGTAACCATTCTCCAGAGCCCCCAAGTTAATGTATCTGAACATTTACATACTCTCTCTCTCTCGAGATATATATATACACACACATATGCACACACACACTCTCTCTATATATATGCATATATATATCCCCAATATTTAAAAAGAACTGTGAAAGGAAGAGTTTAGAAATAGGCCTGTAACCTATTCCAAGTAAGAAAAATAAAAAAGGGAATCGGCATTATGGCGTTATTGTAAATCAATCCAAAATTTCTTGACCTGTGAGACTTGCTTGAATTGTGGTAATCTATAAGCCTTTCTTCTTCTGCTTATGTAACCACACAGAAAAAAGGCAGCTTTTGTCTTTTGAATCACTAGTAAAATATGTGCCAGGTGTTGAGTGTGCTTTGGTCATTTTGCCCTTTGTGTGAACACAGAACTTAATTTATTTTTAAACTTATTATGGACATTTCCCAAAATGGCATTAAGTTAGTATATCAGTCTATAAATATTATAACAGGCTAGATCTATCATATTCTTTAGCATTTTATTGGTGCATAAAATGGCCAGAATAATTTTACTCTAAGAATATAAATTTTTTTAAATCTCAAACATTTTATTTACTATGGATGCAAGAGGCATTGACATAATAGCCATATAGTCAACCAGAGAAAATAAGCAACCAGGATATCCTTGCCACCTGCCTCTTCCTAGGATTCCTTGGAAGTTTCCCTAGAATTCCATATGACCTCAGATGCATCACAAGCAAAGAGAATGAAGCTCTACTCTTTATACTGTAGAGTTCTATGTTGGAGTTACTTTTATTCATGTGAAGAAAAAAAGAAAGTGCATTTTCCATCTTTTAAACCATCAAGCATCTGCAACAACTATAATTTCCCTAATAAAATTTGACTCAGATAATTTCTTGGAAACAGAGGCATTTTAATAAATTAAGAGTGTCACTGATAGTAACAATTCCTGTCTTTTATTAGTGGGAATTTTATTTTTTAATCAATATATAAAATGAAGATAGGTTTTTATTAATTTTTCCTTCTTTTATTAGAGTTAAGTACAACCAACTGAACTTCCTATGCCATAATGAGGACTAAATGATTTGTCCTCAGGTTAACCTGTTTTAATGGCATTATCTGAGGGACTGAATTCATCAATATACATACTTGTGACTGCTGTGGCTTCAGTGGCACTCAGGGAGATATAATGGACAGGTTTGAGCATAAACGCAGACTTCACTGTTCAAGACGGTAAGTCAATGGCACATGAAGCTCTGAGCACTGGGACTGTAGATCCAAATTCTGATGTGCTCTAAGTACAACTTTGTATGTATTTGTATGTGGGTGTAATCTGACGATCTTTACACTGATGATACATTAAAAAGACAGCTTTGATTTGCTTTCTTTCAGCATTAAGATCAAATTCAACATTTTGTATACATGTGGTTTATTTTTGTAAGCATTTGTTCAGATTTTATTCAAAATGTTAGACTGGTATCACAAGCAGAAACCCCTAGGGACTTACAGAATTCCGTCTTCTTTCAACACTAAATTAAAACATATTGGAAATAATAAAAACATTAGGAAAGCAATGTCCCTTTACAGATAACTCACTGAAGCTTACAACATTATCAGCATATTGAAGGCTCCCTGAGTAGTATATAAATAAAGCAAAGTAGCAGAAAAAAAGGAGGTGGGAGGAAGCAGTAGCTAGCAGCAGTTACAAATTACATCACACCATTTGCAACAACATTCATAGAGTTATGTGTATGTGTACCCTGTGGCTTAGCCACATGCACATATCTCTACATAGACATGTAATAAGGGAGAGGGGAAATGCAGACAGTTAGCGATGTGAACATGAATGAATAAACCTGTGAAGCTTACATGAAACAAAACAAGTGAAAAAAGAAAAACCACTAGTACAAATGGTAAGAAATTAAGAAAGTCTTTATTTTATACCTTTCTCGTTCTGGTGAATGCAAACTAGTATCTGGTCTCAAGCAGTTGGTACTAGCACTCCTAGCCCTGTCAAGGGAGGGCTGCAGTTCACTAGTGCCAGTGCATTGCATCCAGTGGTAGAAGAGAAAGACAAAAGAAACAAAGAAAGGAAGACCATGTTAGAGAGTAAAGCATAAAATGTCCTCTTCACATAAAATGCAGAATCACTGTGATTCAGTTCATAAGGGTGTGAGAGCGCTGACAGGATGACAGTGCAAAATTTTGTTTAGAAAAACAAAACTAAACAAAGATTATGCTTAAATTGGCTTTGCATAATTTTAAAAAGGGTCTTGGACTGAAAAAAAAATGACACTAAGTCACACCTACTTATGCAAAAACTGGATACAGGAAGCACTAAAACAAAATGCCTAAAACTTCATTACCAAGAACAGATGCCACACCAAAACAAAATGAAGGACATTGGAGGAAAAATAATTCGACTCTTCAGGTTCACACCACTGGACAGGGGAAGTGGAAATTGCCACTTTCAGAGTATTTCATTAGTAAATCTCAGCATTCTTGGGAAAAAGCATTTGTGGGGAAGGGGACTTCCCTATCTAGTCACTGAGTTGGTCTTAGAATGTGCAGGCAGAATGGAGCTTCCCAAATTAAAATTATCCAAACATAAAACAAAATGAAATAAATTATTGTAATTAAAGTCAACCCACAAAACAAATACATGACATGGATAACAAACAGAATCCTTTCAGTGAGTGGCTTTAGTTTAAAAGAACTATTCTCAAGATTGTATATTTTATAATTGAAAGTATCTTTATATACAATTTTCCTTACTATATATTTTTAAAACGCAATGTTTATTAGAATACAATTTTTCCATTTTTAGTAAGCAAGGGTTTAGGGATTCCACAACTGGCACTCACTGTCATGGTTCTTATCTGTAAATGTTCCAGTGAGAACCATTCTGTAATAAAGGCATCTTGCACGGTAATGTTTTACAGTACCTAACAAGATGTCAGGAACATGGCAACACAAAAATGCAGGAAACAGATAAATACATACATATATGAAGCAAATTTTACCAGTATATTGAGAAAGAAATCTATAACAATACTTAAAGGGACACTGTCTGCTCCTTAGAAGGACCACGTTGATTATTTGCACTTAGGCTTAAAATCATTGTTATGAAATCAGAGACATTGTCCCTATAATTAGAATATAAAACACTACAGTTTAGTTGAATTAGTCAGAAAAATATTGGCTAACCAAACCCTAAAATATTAATAACCAGTATTCAAATATGCTATTTAATCCTTCAGTTAATATTATTCCTATTTGTATGGAAGTAGTAAAAGTATAAACCAAGTAATTTGTGGAATTTGACAAACCTGACAACAGTTTAAATATTTTAAGACAAAGCAAAGAGTTGAGCACAATTTAAAAAGTTTGGTCAAAGTACTGTACTGCAGTAAGAAACGAATGAGTAGGTCAAAGTGTGAATGCAAAAGAGCAAGTTTTTTTAGGTTAGCAGTGCCTGGATCCCAATCAGCCACAGGTAAAAGTTATCTTAGGAAATTAGGCAAGATTAACATTAGACGCCAATCAGAATGTGAATATTACAGAGTGGCAGAAGCAAAACTCAAATTCAACCAAATTTCTTTAAAATCTATCAGGAATTTTGGATCAAGTCCACCACAAAGGGAAAATTGTCAATTTTTAAAAAAATAATGCTCTACAAATTTAATGGCTATTATCAAAATATGCCTTCCATTTTTGCCTACATAAAGGTATGGTGAATAGGAAAGGCAGTAGATAGTTGCTAAGGACACATTAATTGTCAAACATTTTCTCGTTATTGCTAAAAGACAGACAAACGGCAACTCTTCAAAGCTGAAGCTTAAAAATGCACCGCCAAAGGGCTGGCACTGTGATACAGTAGATTAAGCTGCATCCTGTAGCATCAGCCAGGTGCTCCAATTCAGCTCAGCTTCCTGCTAATGGCTTGGGCAAAGCAGACAAAGACAAGTCCCTGATCTCCTGCCACCACGTGGGAGGCTGGATTCAGTGTAGCCCATCCCAGGCTGTTGAGGCCATCTGCAGGGTAAACCACTAGATGGAAGATGATGCTCTCTCAATCTGTCACTCCTCCACCTCTAATTCCACCCTTGCTAAATAAATTAACAAATCTCCAACAATGTCAAGCTCAACCTGAGGAAAGATTCAAGTAGAGTCTTCTGAATTCTCAACTTTATATAATTATTTTATTAATAGGCTACTGTGAAGGCTTTGAGAAACTTGTTTCAAATGTAGTTTTGTTTTCTTTTGGGGGGGGACACTCCGACACAGTTATTCACATAATGGAAAATAGCATGAAATTTACAGTCTAAGAGCAAAGGAACCATGTTGGCCTTGCCAATTTATGACAACAAATTGAAAGCTTCCAGTCAGGCCTTTAAGCCCATTTCAACCTCTACAAAATGGGAGGAATAACAAACAGCTAATAAGAACCTCAAGGGAGTTTAAAAAAAAAAAAAACACAGGAAAAAAACAACAAAAATATAGTAAGACAGCTTTAGCATTTCTTTTGGATTATTATTTCCTCAGAATGTGTTTTTTTAGGGGGGAAAAGTTTTATGGGAAGAAAGTTTGGGGAAAATGGAGTAAGGAATATGAATCAGAATCTTTAGTGCACAACTTTAATATACTGTAAATATTAAATGTAGAGGTAGGGACTTTAATTAGCGATTTTTCCAAAACTACAATCACAAATACTTTCATTAACAGAACATTTTACAGGAAATATAAATCACCTGGAAAAGCCCATTTGTGTAAAATAGACACAAACTTTAATCTGTTTTCTCTGTTACTTATGTAGTATTTTGGAATTTTATTAATACATATAATAACAATAACGCCCCATTATTCAGAAAACAAGGATAAAGTAAATGTTTACCACTAGCCTTGTTCTCAATAATGCTATCTTTCTTATTTTTATTGGAGATATAACCTGGTTAATGAAATTTTCAGTGAAATAGTTAAAAAAATTTTTGTAATTTGAATATAATTTCTATTGATATATCCACTAAAAAGTCATGCTCGTTTATATATACATATTTTATATTTTAGTTGGCTATGTCAATTTATAAATATATGAGTAAAAAATAAAATAGATTACATATAAACATATACACTTGTGATTGAACTCATGTTTTCTAAATCTCCATATCAGGGAACGAAAAGACAGTTTTTAAACCCCAGGAATAAAATTATAGTTGTCATAATAAATGTCTTAATGAAAATGTAAATTAGCAACGATTAGGGAATCAACTAAGCCAGACAATTACTGCTGTTACAAAGACAATCAAGAGGAATGAGGGAGGAGAAAGCAGTAATTACATTTGTTTTGGGATCCACAGATTCCCTAACTCTGCTTAAAACTTCCCATGTTACTCTAGCAGTTAGAAGTAACAAGGCTTGATTTGCCTCAGCTGAACATTCATCTAGTTTTCAGTTGTTTACAAATAAATATTTGATTAATTGCCTAAATCAGGATATGCAAAATCATTATTCCAATTCTATATACTAAACAAATACACTATACAGAAAAAGCAACATACAATCTTTAAAATAAGATTGTACAAAATAACTATTTCTATGGATTTAGCTATTCTAGTTGGATTTCTTGTACGGGTATCCTACATTAAATCATTAAGTACCAAGTACCTATCTTGTATCTTAATAACAATACGGATTTCTTATGCATGTCATGCATGGCATTTTTTAAATGCTTTTGGTCATGAAAGAACCAGGAAAAACTGTCAAGAAGCAGTAAACAGACTATTCTGAAAGAACAACTAACAATGTGCCTGTATAATATAGTATATAAAGAATTTGAGTTGATTTTTACAAAAATTATGACTTTAAGTCATTTTTTCAGTTGACAAACTGAACTAATGCTTCTTCATTATTCTCCAAGCAAACATGGGACTGTCATCAGTAAAATAACTTTAGGCATGTAAGTGCAAACAATCTTTATTAGCATAGTCATGCTTGTGTTACTGAGCAACCACATACTCCACATAGATACCATGAATCTTGCATTAGTCATTGCTCTATGCCTTGTGGTCATATTTCTCTCCTATATCTCCTTACTTTTTACTGGTTAAAATATTTGAAAGTTCATGGGTTGGTTTAGTTCACCGACCTATTCTTTCCTTCACTTCTGTTAACTTCAAATTAACAATAAATATTCATGGACTTCATCCTAAGAGTTATCTGTAGGAAACCAACTTTGGCATATGGAATTTGAGACCTGAGGAGATTAGCACAAAGCATTCGGGCATTAAGCTCCAATGAAGAGATGAGGATTATATCCTTTACCATACTGCTGCAGTCTTTATGGGAAAGTTTATATTGCAGCATTTTGAGGAGGAGAGGGTAGAGTTCTTAAGGGGTTCTTAAAATCAAACTTCTTCACTATCAAAGAGAAAGTGGAAATTAACCCATTAAAATGACCTGATAAAGATTATTCTAAGTGAAAAGAATACAAACAACTGTGGTTTTCAAAAAGAAATAAAAACGACTAGAAAAGAAAAATTACAATGACGAAAACAAGAACACTGCCATGCACATAAAGTTCAGACCTCTTGTGACTAGATAGGTGTGTGAACGAGCAGAAAGAAAACTGAAAGCAAGCATTTACAATTTTAATTGCAGAGTGATTCCTCATTTAGGGGAATATGAGAACTTTTCCAATTTGGCTAACCAGTCTTTGAATTTTGAATATATAGATATTAAAGTAGTCCTGCTGGATAAGAATTGAAATTTACTTGGAACCTTTTCCATATCCTCCATATCAAACAAAACAAATTTTGAACACTTGGTAAATTCATTTTTCCCTATTTGTAATAATACCATTAAGGGAAAGACAGAAGAATAGTAGAATGGAAAGAGTCATCACACACATTTACCATTACCAAATCCCTGTATTTACCTGGTAGTATGTAGGCATTCTGCACTTCGTCCTCGTTTTGCTCTGGGCAGCATAAGAAGCTCACTGCACAGACAGGATGATGGGTGGTGAGTGAAACAGATAAATTATGAAGCATTAAATGATGTGGATAATGCCAATGGTATGCCAATGAAAACATGAACAGGGAAGAAACCAGATTGTCTGCACTAGCATATTGGCTTAAAAGGTCAAACAAAAATAAACATGACAGCATTTTAAAAGTTTAAACAATAAAGTACAAACATTATGGTAGAAATCCTAGCTGTTGCTGACTTGTAATATTTCAAAATGACCTTAGAAAATATTAAAATAAAATTAAACCTTCTCTAGTGTGATACCAAAAACCTATTTTTAACTAGACACTTGAGTTTTGAAAAACTATAGACTTGGCCTTTCTGATATTCCTAGGAACCCTTAAACATTGTTTTGGTAATTTTGAATGATGTTTTTTTGGAGTTTCCATAGATACTGATAATGCAATGTCATACTGTGTTTCTATTTATCAACTGAAAATATTTTTGTTTGGGATTTTTTTAATTTAAAAATTGATACTTTCACAATATCCAAGCCAAATTAATTTCAATATAGGGATCACCCTGTTCAAGTTAACCTTTGTTTTTCCTCCTCAATGAACATTGACAAAGTGACCCTAATTTAACCTCATCCACATAATACGCAACATTATTTCTCAGTGCATTTCCCGTTCCCAGTACCCACAGTAAGTCCATTCCTGAAGGTCATCATACAACTTCTCACAGTAGGATGACAATTATATACTAAGAAGCTCAAGTTGGGTAGAATCCTTAACTCCACAGTGAAAAAGCAGTCAGCAACACTGTCATTTTTCTATCCCTCACAGGAAGTTTTTCCACTTTAAAAAACCAGAAAGCAGTATTCAATAAGGTGAGTATTACACAACACCTTAAATAGGATGTTGAGTTTTTGATTAATCCAACAGGTGTGTAGTTACTCCGAGAAGAAAGTCGGCAGGCATGTACAATATATCCATAATACACTTATTGTAGTTCTTCCCATGAAATATGTGTTCACAAATAAATGCATAATTAAACTTAATAACATATTTGTATATGAACAAATGCACTTCAGTATCTGTATTTTATAGACATTTTGAGGAAAGGTATTTTATAATGAAAGAAGTATACATAACAAAATATTATTGAAGTTCTCACAGAAACAGCAACTTTAACTATCAGGTGATCTAATGTACTTTTAATTACATAAATAATTTTGTAATTACATAAGGAGTTTTTCAGGCACTATAACTTACAAAGAGAATATATTTGAAAACTGCTATGCACACTCCCCTTTGTAATTTAACTCAGTACATAAGTCAACAACAAGCTTTATTTTTATAATCAGTAAGCTGTGTTTTTGTAAAAAAAAAAAAAATGTATGTAAGATATAATGCTGGCCAAATATTTGCTCGGGTTGTTTTTCTATTTTAACATCATGTTGCTTAAGAAGAGTTCTATTTTGAGTCATGAAATACTTATATTCTAAATGCAATGTGCCACAAAGTTTGTACATACTGAAGTAGAATAAAGGCAGTGATAATGCCGGGATCATAATTTGTACAAGTACCTGTCTTGTTCTGATAAATACTGACTATCCACGTCTCTGGATCTACGATCAACTGGACTTCTGGAGGCATCATGGTGTCTGGTTGGAGAACGGGACCTTCTTGTTGGATGAATTTCATCTAAGCTCCTAAAATGATCACAAAAAAATTTTTGAAAAAATTAACACTAAGCGTATCATGCTCCTAAAGCAGGTATGCAGAGTATAGGGAAGGAACTGATAATAATTTGAAAACAGACCACACTAAAGGCTGTTTTGTTGCTGACTTCAAAGTGTATATTCTCTAAGTGTTCTCACATATGCTGCTTTAATCCAAACTCCTGTCACAATTCTGCCAAAAAGGACCACAGTTTGCATCAGCATATCATTTCACCAGTATATTTTAGAATAAGAGGAAATGCAACACTACACAATAAATTTTATTTACCTTTCCAAACATTTAAAATATTCAGAGACAATCATAACTAACTTAGAAACACATTGTCTCCTAATCTTACTCTCTGCCATCTCTCCTCATATGTGGGTTACTGCCATACAACTCTTTTCAAATATGACAGAAAACTATCAAATAGAAGATAAGACAGTTAATCAAAAAATTATGTTTCAGTCATAAACTTCTACCATTCACTGGGGAATTTCTTGAGATAAAGAACACCGTACAGTAAAGTAGCTTTTTTTTTTTTTAAAGCATTTAACTTCCAGATGTTTCTGATTCCATAAAAATATCAGCAACAAGAACAAATTAACCAAACCTTTATAACATTTAGTTAGAGTCTTGCAGAAATTTATCATATAACAGTAAGACAATATTATCAGGGACCCAGAGCCCCTTTCGAAGCCTACCTCTGTAATGGCACATTTGGTAAACGTGAACGCGGCCTTCCCTGGTCATCGCCGCGGTGAGGAGACACTGAACGTGAGCGGTGATGAGTTGCTCTTTGCTGCTCTGGCACAGTTAATGTTGTGGATTTACTTTCTCTAGCACTAGACCTATAACTCACTGGCAAGAGTATACACACACACACACACACACGCAAAAATTAGTCAGTATTCTTTTGTGATGCAAATGTTAATGTGGAGATTACAAGTTATGCTATAGCAGCCAAAGACCTATTAAGGCTAAATGCCATGCAATCAGTATTACAATCAGCAGTTTTAACTGTATATACACAGAGTATAACATATACATGCAGAAGGACAGGTTATAGTTTAGCTCTAAGGTACAATGGAGATACTAAAGATGAACATGACAGTTGATGTCTCAAGTGTTATGATGGATACTATAAAGAATGAGTTAGTCACTCTCAGTTAACACAAATCTAGCACTTGACAGTGAACTACAGTTAATTACAAGTCAATGCTTAGAAATTTGAATTTTCTTTAAATGCATTTTTTAATTTGAGCTTTTCTTCTGAAGGATAAATTAGTATAGCTGCCTTGCCAATAGCATCATTATTAAGAAATAAAAATATGCCAATATTTATTAAGCAAATGGAAATAATATTATATCAACTTTATTTAATACAGAGTAGCAGATTTTCAGTATTACTGATGAGGAATTTTGCAAATCCCAGGTAATAATGCAATTTGAAAATATAAATCGTGTTTGAGTGGAGATGATTATGGTCATAACAAAGAGAAAAATTAATTTTCCTACAGCACTGAATCTATCCAGGGCATCTTCACTGATCCAATACTGTGTTAATCATCAGTAAAATTAAGTTACAGTGATTACCATAATTACAAACAAAAATAAACTCTAACACTTTTCAGCTTAAGTAAAATGGTTCATATTTTTTTCTCATTTGGTTCTTATAAAACAGAAATAACAAATTTACAGTAATAATATGGAGTTAAAATTTTTGTCCCAAAGACCTCTGTTCCAAGTAGAATGAGAACAGTCTATGGTAAAAAAAAAAATGCTATTTACAACTACATAAAATGCACATGAATGAATGCTTGAATTGCTGCATGTTTATTATGTGATAATTCTCACATTATTTGAAAAAACAGGCAATGTACAATGAAAGCATTACTAGTAGCAGAATAATCTCCTCAACTGTTTATATATACTGATTGCACAAATTGATTGGAAAGCTTAAAGTATAAGGAAGACCTTTACACATTTCAGGAAACTATAAACTGACAATATTGAGACGACAAAAGGTGCAAGTTTATCACCCCATAAAACCATGATATTCTATAAAAACATAGCCATAAATATAATTTATAATTTATTGCATTTTTAGAATTTTCACAAAGCAGTTAGGTTAGTATTTTGAGTTCTGTATAGAAAAAGGCTTTTCTATTATTCAAAAGCATAAATTGTAATATTAAGATTGGAAAGGGATCACTTAAATTAACCTGTAGGGGAATATACTTTATAGCTCATTAGTTAAAAAGTGGCAAGATGCCAATTAGTACAAGGTTTGACTTACTTAAAAATTTTAATGTACACTTTGTTATCAATTATTCAATTGATTTACAGGGCCAATTTTAAATTGAGAGCACTATCAGGTTCAGTACATTGCAGGACAGCTGAGACATAAAAAATGGATTTAAAAAAAGTTAATAATTAAAAGTACATTTTTCTTGTGTTCTTTAAAACCTTCTTTACCCTATTAACCAAAAAGGGACTTCAGGGAAAGAAGTGCTATCAGGAAACAAGCTTTTTATATATTAAAAACTTTCAGTGTAACTTGTCTTAAAAGTCACTGTAACATTTCAAATTTACACAGGGAGCTTTACTAAAGACTATCTGGTGTCTCAAAGTAATCATGAGTATAATGTAGTCACATAGAATGTATGCTTTATAATACTCAAAGTTTTAAAACTAGACTCTAATACAATTTTATCAGATAAACATGAATTTGTGGTTTGCTCTTAACATTTGTTTTTCTAATACACAATTTATTATTGGTAATATGTACTCCACAGTTAGATTCATAAATGGGGGAGAACTGCCCTTCTATGTTCAGCTTACTGTCTTTGGTCGACTCAACGGCAGCACGTAGACTTTTTTTTTTCATTTCATACATCTGCATTAATACTCTGACAGTGGAGGTTTCCAAATCTCAGATGAGGGAATTCTATATGCTTTTCATTTTCTAATACAGCTAACTTATGTATTATGAATACAAATAAGGCTATAATCTATAGTTAATGAAATATAGCTCTAGCAGTTTCAAATATTTACCTACATTTTTGTAAGTGAGAAAAAGTAAGAAATGCAAAAAACAAAACATGGAATTACGTGGTTCTGGAAGAGTCAAATGTCCTAAAAGTCCGATTTGACTACCAGAGAACATTGTGAGTAAATATTGTGAGCTTTTTCAGATTTTAACTGAATACATTCCATTAAGTATAACTGGAATCCACATCAAAACTAATATTTTCATGCTGGATGTTAGAAAATATAGCAACATAGTGAACCTCTAACTGTGTATGGAAATGCACCACAGTTTATTCATTTAAAACTTCAGTTTACTTCTTGCCCATTTTATCAATGTCTTCTATTTCCTTTTTACTTAAAATACATTGTACATTACTCTGTGACCTTGTCTGTCACCCATACTCATATGCATCTTTAGAAGCTATGCTATATCCAGTATTGGATCACTGAAGAGTGTATCTGAACATAAAAATAAATGGCATGATTCCATTCATTAATTTATGACTTCTGACACATAAAACATTACATTGATTTTTATTACCTTTTTATGTGATAAATATAAATGGAAAGTATTACTTGAAAGACCTACTTAGACATTGCTTCAGTATGATAAAGGAGAATGCATGTGTTTGCCAACACTATCAGAAATGTGATTTGTGTCAATGTGGAAAAAGAAGTACTGTTAAATTCAGCGTTGTTCAGAGCTGCTCAAGTCTAATCCTGTCTGCAGTGAATCCCACAACTCATTTGTAACTCTCAGTACTGTAACCACGTTCATTTTTCAGGTAAATCAGAAGGGCCTCATCAGTTTATTGAGTATTTAATTGGTCAGCTACTAATAATTCATTCACTATCCTTCGTTATTACTATGAAAAACTTTAGGAAGGCAAATTGTAAGAATCACCTATAGAAATAAATTCTACTTAGGAAAATTAGAGGAAAATCATCCGGAATAATCTCACCATATCAGAATAAACAAAAATTTTAAATCTGTAACCTTTTGGACTCCTTAAGTGTCATAAAAATTGACACACTGCTAAATTTTGCGTGAAAGTGTCTGGGCAGAATATGTATAATTACTACAGTCTTTTAAGAAATAGAAACAGAAAGAAAATATGAAATGTTATGTATTATCATTTGCAGTTCTTATTGATATTGTGATATTAAGAAATAATATATATGGATTATTTTTAAATTATTTGTTACCTCATAAAAATATATCTCATAGGAATAAAATAAAACCTGATTTTAGAGACCTCTCCATAATTATCTCTGAAGTCTAATAAAGTTGTAGGCATCCAATAATTATAAACTTATCATGAGTATGGAATCACTGCCCACAAAATAAGTGTATTATTATCTTATAAATTAGGTAAAACTTAAAGAAACATGTTTGAAAACTGTCCCAGAGAATTGCCCTCAAGAATTCATATTTATATATCCCATATTTAAAAATAATTTCTTAGGATGTGAATATTTACTTCTCTTTTATTAGAAAATCAGGGAAGTGTTGTAGAATTAGTGCCCAAAAAGTTAAACTTCACCAAGCAATTTTATGTACTTTCCTGACTAAAGTCAAATGAGTAGTATATATTTGAACTATACAGCATCACAGAAATTTTCACTAGTTAATACAAGGTCAAAAAAAGTTGCAGACTTCAAATTAAGATCAAATCTTTCTAAAGCATTTTCATTTTGAAAGACATACAGACATTCTAGGTAGTCAGTCGTGAACACATCACAAAAGCATAAAAACTTATAGCCATGCCACATGCAATTTTAAACCCTGCCATGCACCTTTCTCAGAATATTCCATGGAAGGCTACACATTTTCAGAAATGGAGGAAGTAAACATCAGAAAAATACAGTAAAAAAACAGAAGAGTCAATTTTTATGTAATGAATTAACCATATTCTTTAAAATGAAATTCATATTTTCACTTATGCTCAGAGCACTGTGAAATGATTTATCGTACCTAGCTAATAGGCTTTTAAGGAGGAAGATCTGGACTAAATTAAATGAGTAGGGATGTTGATTTTCAGATAACCATTCCCTTTTTAAACTTCCTTAACAATTTGGTACACAAGTCACCATGGAATAATGAAATACTGATTTCTATGGGCTATAAGTCTCTAGTCCAGCGTCCTGAAGAAGTCTCCAAGCTGGCAGTGACAACAAGCAAAGAAGCACAGTAAAGCAGAGCCATGCTCCTCGCCCACGCACCTGGAGGAACTACTCCAATACCATCATCAATCTCATAATCTGAGATGTCACTATCACTGATTCGCTGAGATCCTGTACAACAGTAAGGCAAACAGATACTTCTGTGTCGGGTTGGTTTATGAAGTGTAAAGGACATGGTCAAAGGTTTTGAAAAGGCTAGCTGTATTATTTATTACTCAATGTGTTTAAAGAATAACACGAAGTCAATACTAAACTGATTTTAAAAGAAAAGGTCAATTTCTGAGAATTCCCTCGATTGCAAAGAAAGAGCACACATACTCAAGAACACGGGTCTGGTGTTTTTATTCTTTACGTTAAACATCATGTGAAAGGTCCATAACAAGGTGCATATTAGGTTTTCAGAAAATTAAGTGTCTTTCCGCAGTACATGAAGGGTTGGGCTGTGTGGAAAGGTTTAAGGAGGCCTTTCTTGGTTGGAGCATAATAGAAAGTTCCCATGAGTCAAAGAACACCGAGGACTTTATAAAATATTAGCTTCTAAAATGATTCATTTATTGCATTCAACATGAATTTTGAGAAAATGCTTGACAAGCGAAACATCACCATGAAATATTAAATTTTATATGAAAGATTATTTGGTTCCACATAACCAAAATGAAGGTTGTAAGTTGTACTTTTTGAATCAGAAATTTGGTTGCCACTCAAAATATTATTGAAGGTACTAAAAGAGTTTTCTGAATTCCCATCTAATAAAAAATAAACATATTTGCAATGTCTTAAACACATAGTTCATATGATTAATAATGCTAAAAACAATCATGAATTATGTGGTCATTACAAGTTCACAAGAGTGAACACAGAATTTATTCACAATCAACAACTTTGAAGATCTTGTTCAAGAATTATGATACAGTGCTTCTGAGCTGTCCAAATTTTACACACACACATACACTCACACTCACATTCTCTCACACATACCTGCACTTAATTTCATTTCGAACATGTATAAAATAATCCTATTGAGTTCTTTTATACAGATGCAAAGTTTTCTAATATTTTAATCTCTAATAAAACAGCAGAAAAACGCCTCCTTGTCAATCTCTAATTCTATCATTACAACAGAATTACATATGTTAGCAAAGAAGACCTTCACCTACTTTGTAGCTTCTTGCTAGAGCTTTCTCCATGAACGTGTCGCCTTGGCATGAAAGGTGATGGCTGAGGCAGAGGTAGTGAGGATTCATCATGGGTCTGAAGTTTATACCAGTGTGGTTCATCATCTAAAAGTGCTGTTTCTAACTCTATAAGGATCTGAAAGGAGAGTTTTTAAATTAAATCAAGCCCTTGTATTTGCAGACTTGAAAGGCTTCATCAAGTGTGTGACTGGAATCTTTGCAATCTACATCACCTCTCCAAGGAACTCGCTTTCCTCTTCTTGCACTCTGGGTTGATCCCACACAGTGATTTCTAGCATTCGTTCTCTAAAATCCCTACGATGCACATGTGAATACACAAAGGTCTGATTCCATTTCGGTTCTAGCACTTTCTTCACCGTCTTGGTCCTCCTTTTGCTTTTATCACTGAAATGAAAGGTTTTATAAATGAAAAAGCAAACATAAGTATATGCTGCCATCTGTAGCTACATGCACTAATGTCTCTGCTACTTTCACTATTTTTTAATTAATAAGTTTAAAAGTACACAGATTTTGTTACTATTCCAATTCCTTACAGTGCAAAAAGCAGCTATGGTTATAGGCACTCACACATGAAAGTATCCTAGTTGATGTGCCTGTATCAAAGGCTAGTATGGATAGGAAAGCTAATAAACAGTTTTTTTTTAAAAATAGACTATTTTTAAAAACAAGAGTTGAGAAATTTCTTAGAGATAATTTAAATACTACTTATATTTATAAATGTGCCCCAGAAATGGAACTTAATCTACTGCTACAGAGTTTCATATATTTCTATAAAATGATTCGCTACCTTCTATCTGGAAGAAAATACATTTTTACATAGGGATTCCGGGGACGCCCATCGACTCTAGGGGGTAGATCTGTTGCTTGCAAGACATTTACAATCAGTTGGTGCCCCACTTTATCATACCATAGCTTCACCTAAAAGTAATGAAGAAATGATGACTTGTGAAAATTGTGACATGTTGAGATTTTGCATAAATAATATTTTAATTATAATAGAAGAAATTTTGGAATATAATAATATGGAACTCTAGATAGGATTTCTGAAAGGGATATCACTTTAAAACCACAACCACTTTTTCTCTTTAAACATTTTAATGTAACCTAACTGATAAGACTGTAGTACAATATCTTCTGAAAAAAAAAAAAATTGTCACTTTGTTTTTAAAAAAAGAATGGAAGATGGAAGCATTTAAATTTTTTTAGCTTTTTATTGTTAAATCTAAATGTTTGTTGATTCTAAGCATCTTTAAGATTATACAGTGCCTCTTTTATAATTTTATAAATGCCATAGGTAGTTGGGATAGAAGAATTTTAATTGTAAGAACAACATACATAGTGGGTGGGAAGAGAAGAGGCAACACAGCGTTTGAAACCCAGGCACTATTATGTGTTTACTGGTATTATTCTCAGCACATTTTGAAAATTAAGCTGTTACATGTTAACTTTCAAGTGATGAGGTCAAAGAGAAAAAGTGGGTTTAAGACATACATGGTAACTTCCAACCTGTTTGAAGAGATGCTGATTTAATTTTCTATAGGTACGTCCCCAGGAGTGGGACAGCTTGGTTAGATGTATATTGCAGACCGATTTGTAGTTTTTTGAGAGAAAAAAATGAAATAAGTATAAATACATGGTACAATAATATGGATTAATATTTAACCATTAAAAAAGGAATAAAATCCTGATGATTGCAGCAAAATGGATGGAAATGGACTGAACCAGTTCAGATGAAATAATCTTCAGACAGATAGATCAATACATTATCTTAAAGTATAAAGATGTTAACATCAATTTATAACAATGATTACTGGAAATGTGAAAGAGAGGTAGAGGGGAAGATGTTGGGTCACAGGCACCAAAACATGGTTAGATAGGATTAATGGGTTCTGGCATTATATATCAAAGTGTGGTATTATTCACAAAGATATTACATATTGTATAAGGAACTATTAATAAAAGCATTATATACTGTATACTAGAAGAACTGGTTGGTTCCATATAAAGAAAAGAAATTGAATGCTAACTGCCTGATTAACCAATCTAAGCCATATAGATTTATTAAAACACTGCACCTGTATTCCATAAAAAATAGCTACTACATTTTGGTCAATTTTTGTAAAACAATGAAAAATGATGCCAAGCACAAATGATAACAAAGGATAATCCTTGAAATGTTCATTGTAGCTAATTTCAAGGGAGAGAGAAAGAGAGAGAGGAACAGCACACTGAAATATTATCAACCTCCTAGAATCAAAACGTTAGCAGTCAGTATAACACTTGTGCTGATAATGATAAATAACAGAAAACTAACAAATGTGAGCTTTAATTTTTGCCCCTTGAATTGGAAATTAATTTTAATTTTATGGTTGATAAGAAATACAAAAATGCACTGTTAATGGATACATGTTGGAATATATTTGAGTTACTTGAAATTTAGTACTTATTTACTTGAGAGGCACAGGGACGGGGAAGAGAGGGAAAACTTGTGCATGTCACAGTCTACTCCCTCCAGTTTTGCTCCTCAAATTCCTATGATGCCTGGGACTGAAGCCAAGACGTCAGGATCTGGTCATGGAATCTGATCATCAGTCCAGCGTGGATAAAAGAACTTCAATTCCTTAACCAATTCCCGTGACCTTCCCAGATCTGCAAGCAGGAAGCGAGCCACAGCTGCAGTGGAAAGCAAGTCCAGCCACTCTGATGTGGGATGAAAGCACACCAACCACTGTCCTCATCCAAAGGCCAAATGGTCACCCCCAGCACTCACTACTGAACATGGATTTGGTTCCCAGGTAAGAGGAATTTTAATAATGTCAAAATGGAACCATATGACTCTATCTCTCATGTTCTAAATTAATAACAGAGATGTGGGATTTTCAACACCTCGGAAAATCTAGGTGAAAAGTAGGAGAAATTAAGAGAGAGAGAGAGAGAGAGAGAGAGAGAGAGAGAGAGAGAGAGAGAGAGAATATGACACCTTGAAAGAGCAGACAGAAACTCAGAAAAAAAAATAATCACAAGGGATATACACAGACAGGAGTTACAACCAAGAAAGCTTTTGAATTTACCCTCTGACTCATGAAATAAACTACAGAAGCCCATGGTTTACCAGATTATGTATTTGTAGACTAATACAAAATAAGATTTTACTAACACAAGTGTCTATTTCTGTCTTAATCCACATACATGTCGTTCTTCATAATAATCAAATTTAATGGTGGTTATTTTTCTTCGCTTATATCTGGGCCACAAAATAAGTTGATAGTAAGAAAAGCATGAGCTTCATCAGGGTGCTAACAGTGGCAACAAATAAATCTATCAACTTTTTTTTAAATTAAAAAAAATTCTCCAAATTTAGCTTCTCAGGCTCCAGATTTAGGCCATTTTTACATTAAATGGAACATGCCCTTCTTAGACTACTACAAATAATTGGCTACATGTCTTAGAAACATTTAGACAGCCTAACACAGAGGATGGATAGTTGATCTACTTATGTTGCCACTTACCAATCATTGTTCAGAACTTTGTGGGCACTCAATAAGTTTTCCAGAATAAGTAAGATTAAAGAAATACTGCAAAAATGCATGAAAATAATTGATGAAGGTGACTATGGTGTCAAATGACATACATTTGTTTTCAAGGAAAGCTAGACATTATCAAAGGCAGACTCAGACATCTAGCATACAGTAGTGATCTCTAACAAGTATAAAAAATACATACAGAAAGTTGCCCTGGTAAGACTTGTGGGGCATCTTTTAGAGCTCCGGGACTTGTTGGAGAAATAACAGAAATGGAAGGCCTCTCCATCTTCTGAGATTCAAAGGAACTGGAACCTACAATGGTAAAATATTAAGTAGTAGTATTTCTCAAGAGGGGAACACATTGTTTTCTATGAAATGTCAAATTTATCTAATATTTATAGGTAAACATAATTTACACCATTGAGAATAGAATCTAGTTTTGAAGGAATTACTACGGTCATTATTTTATTTTCTTTGGCAATGCACTATTAAGCATATTCAAAGTGGTAATGCACAATGTTTCCACCTGTTTCGATTTGAATGTGTGAGCCCCCATTTCTGGAGGGCACCATAACTGCACAAGTTCATGCACAGCCATACAAGATCTAATTTTTAGAGAAAAGGAAGGTGGAGCCTGACATGTCAATCATCTTAATCCACAGATCACTTTCACACTGTTCTTAGGGAGCAATTAAAATGAATGAATATAGAATATAATTTATGAGCAGCATCTAAGCCTACATTTCGTCACTGCCTACAACCAAATTTATCACCTCTGTTATAGTTCTCATTTTACAAAAGAGTCTCTTTAATTTCTGAGAGTGTTGAGTCTAGAACTTCTCGAGCAACTTGCCTCAACTTGTTGCGAGGAGGAAAACTTTCCTCTGAGCCACTGCAGGAGGATGCCTTCACCAACATGCCCTGACACACACAGCAGAGTTGCACTTCTATACAAGGTGATCAGTCTAACGAGGGTAACTCAAAGCCATTCAAAACTCAGGAAAGACTTCACTGAGAAATATCACAGACGAAGCATTGTCTGAAGGTGTGAAACACGTTTTTGAATACACTGACAAATGAATTAATCATTTTGTCACATGCCATCAGCTTGTGCCCTCCAAAAAAGATTGTCCATGGTCAAAAAAATAGTGCTATGAGATTATCTGACACCATGTTTTTTTTTTTTAATTCAGGTATCTTTAACATAAAATTTTCCAGGATCTCAGAATAGGAACATTATTGCATCCAACATTGTCTATTTCCAATGAGACAGCAACCAGTTAAATTTTTAATAGTGTCAATATCAAGTTACTGTAATTAGTCCCATCTCCCTCTTGTTTTAGTCACCAGAAAACTCAAAGCAAATTCTGGACCCCCCTCTAGCACATATGAACACGTGTTACTCATTTATATGATAACCTAGTCTCTGGTTCCTTATTTAACCTACTCATGTATATTTTTTTCCTTGCTAATTGCTTTTAATGTTTTTTGGCTACATTGTTTTGAAAACTTTTTAACAGTTTATTCCACTACGGCTTTAAATTTACAAAATAAACATCATGAAGTAATCCTATGAGTTCCCATATACACCACATGGAACTCCCCCACTTAATTTCCCTGTTATCAAAACTCATATTAGTACAATTGTCACATTAAAAAATCACACTCAACTTTCCCTATTTTTAAGATCCAAATTATGCCTTCCACCCTTTCAACTTCCACTAATCAGCATTCTGGGTTTAGCTGGGACAACACGTATGGTGTGATGGAGTATTATTCTGCCATTAAAACAGAATGAAAATCTTTCACTTGTAGCAAAATGGTTAGAACTGAGGTATATAATATGAAGTCAAACAAGTTAGAGACATTACTCTGTAATTTAATGTTGATTCACTGCAAAGTCAATGTTTTGGTCACTTCCACATCATGAAGGACAATTCGTTACCTGTCTGTTAGTGTTGTATACAATAGCCTCTTCACTTACTGGACTGCGTTTAATCCCCATGTGGATAATTCTGCAACCCTCTTGCCTCACAGTCCTTTGACCCCTATGGGGTTCAGTGAGCATACTCCAACTATTCCGCCTCATGCCCATTCACCCTACCTGACACTGCTGAGCAGTGCTACTGGCTACAGTGCCTATCTCCTTCACTAGAACGCTAAGGACACTGATCTGTTTATCAATCTAAATGAATAATCCACAGGATATTTTAGACTAGTTTTTAATTGTTCCATGAAAACATGACATGCCAAAACAACAGACACATTGTATATCGGTTCAATTGCTGTGATTATTTGTTTATTTGTTTGTTTACTGGTATAATTCCATAGGCCCAGGGATGTCTTCTCCCTCTACTCCCCCCCGCAAAAAACCTCCTTTTCCTGCCACTGATTTCCAGTATATTATTACATTAGTATAGTCCTTCAAAAATAGTCATAAGTCAGTTTCTAGTATTTAAGTGTATCCTGACAATTCACAATATATATTTACTTATGGCAAAGTCAGCTATTATTGGTATAATAATTTGGTTCTACAAAGGTATTAACTGTTGAATTGCAGTGCACTGCCAATGAAAAGAACTTTATAGGCACAAATATGGATAGAAAAAGAGCTCTCCAATAATTAGGATTTCTGTGGGTTTCCCATGATTATCAGGGTTGTAAGTCTATTTGGTGGAGACAGCCTTAGAATGGTAATACTAATCATTTAGCAAGTAACTACAGAAAATGGTAACTCTTCATTCTTCAATTTAAAGTGATCCATTTTGTAACGACAAAGACATCTTATACTCACTGGACTCCAGTGGAGGATGGGAGCTCTCAGGAATCCGGGGAATGTCACTAAAAGAAACGATACGGTGAAAATTCCATTAGCTTAACCACCCACCCTGAGGCACTCACAGCCCATTTTATTTTAGTAATGTGAAAAATCCTTTTAGGTCTTTACAGATGTAGAAATGGAGGAGAGTTACTATTTAGGCAACTTCTAATGTGCATGAATGTCAAACACCACAAAAAAGAAACTGCAATAAAAATAAGTTTTTATATATTTAATAGCAAAACACTTTACCATGACAACTGATCTAATATTGTGGCCAAAATTACCACAATATTTTTACTACCAAAACAGCAGGTTTTGGAAATAAAAAATGTTAAAAAGGTAATATCTTACTTTGATTCTCAAAAATCAAAATGACACACATTTTACACATCAGTAATATGTTTTACAAACACATCTGAAAGAGTTGACTGAATGAAAGGGATGGAAACACCTCCTGATGATAGAGTGATGGGGTGGAGACTGTAGGCAGTTAATAAAAAGAAAAGGATGAATTGCTTTGGAAATTAAAAGTGGTTCAAGCTTGCAACAGAAAAAAGCCAAAATATTTTTATATATGTGAATATGTAATCCATATACACATATATACCTTTTATAGAGATGCAAGGCTCTCTATATTGAGGTTAGCTAAATATATGACTATTCACTTTGTGGTCAGAAAGTGACTTATGAGAACCACCCATTCCTGTCACACTTAGAAATTACTCTGATGAATATTTCATACCACCTCAGCTCAATCCATTTTTCACTACGACCTTAGAAATCCTGGATCATCTTTGCGGAATTGCCTGTGCTGCACTGCACTACTTTACTTCTCACTTTCCAGATATTTTAGTGGCAATATAAAGTGAAAAATACGCAATTATTATTGTGACACATTAAAGTAGACTGGAGTTAGCTAGTGCTAACACAACTTTTAATCTATTTCTTAAAGATTTTGAATCATATACCTGGTGACCTAACTGCACTTTGATTTTTTTTTTCACTTTGGCAAGAAATGGAAACAGAAAAGCTTCTATATTTGCTTTCCTTTATTTCACATTTTTTTGTGTGAGGTAATTTTTTTACCACCAACATTTTATACATTCTCCAATGACAATATAATTTAAGTTAATTATTTTACAAGTAAAATCTATTATATATTCTGTGCAATTAAAATTTTCTATTAACATAATTTATGTTAATAGAAACAAAACAAAAAAAAACTACTACTTTATCCTATTTATCTTCTGCTGTCTTCTTCTTCTTTTTAAAAAAAAGGATTATTAATTTTTATTGCAAAGTCAGACATATAAAGAGGAGGAGAGACAGAGAGGAAGATCTTCCATTAGCTGATCCACTCCCCAAGTGAACACATTGGCCAGAGCTACACCGATCCAAAGCCAAGAGCCAGGAACTTTCCCCAGGTCTCACACGGGGGTGCAGGGTCCCAGGGCTTTGGGCCGTCTTCGACTGCTTTTCCCAGGCCACAGGCAAGGAGCTGGATAACATGCAGGACCACTGGGATTAGAACCGGTGCCCATATGGGATCCTGGTGTGTTCAAGGCAAGGATTTTAGCCACCAGGCCACTGCGCTGGGCCCTGTTGTCTTCTTTTCAATTCACTGAAGTAAATAAAAGTTGTGAAAACTGCATACACAATTTTCTGAATAGGATGTCTTCGAAAGTTAATTCTAAAGTCAGTTATTAAAACTGTAAATTTGGAAGCTTAAAGCCAGGTATAGGATCTATTTTTATATATTTTTGAAAGAAGAAATTTGGAAAATTTGCTGAAAAATTTCAAGATTAATCTAAATAAAAACTTAATATTAATTACTTCAACAACCTTTTCTAGGCCTAAATTTCCACCTGACATCTGTTTGTTTTTTCAGTACTTCTTACATGTTATTTGGTAAATAGTTACCGTAACAGGTGTAATCATAAAGAGGAAGATACTATATTCAGTAGGTTCAAGAAAATGGTCAATATTCCAAGGTGGTTGAGGTTTCTCAGATTGTGATGAATGATGTGCTTATAAGTTGTTTTTAGAATGATTCTTGAACCACATTATGCCATCAAATCGAGAACAAACATTTGTTTTCTATTCTCAATTATAGGTACTGAAAAGAACTATGTGAAGCATACTTATTAAAATGTAGTCAGAATTATTTCTACAATTACACGTTAACCTGACAGTTGATGTCAGCTTTTTAAATTCAAATAATACTTTCTGTAATTCACATCATCCTGAATTCCAAAATTATAGATAGCATAAAATCTGGCTATATAGATGACTGAGTAATTTATATAAAGTAAAATATTATTCCAGTCTACTTTAACGATCAGTTTTTATATCATCATGAATTAAAAATATTAAAGTTGATTTTGTAATCCATAATATATTTGAAAAGTATTTGGCAATGTGCACAGTGCTTGATTTTAAATTTTGTGTTTAATAGTTCTGATATATTTTCCAGTTTACTTACCTCTTTTCCAGCCTTATATTTACCTCAGCACTATAACATGGCATGTGAAACTAGCATATAGTGTCGTTACTTTTTAAAACTATGTTCAACACTTTAGCAAATTCTCTTAAGTCTTACTCTACTCTTAAGTCACAACTTAAAATTGGTTGCAGTTTCCTTTTATTTTAGAGTTTTATATATTATTATTATTCTTTGACATAGGGTTATATACTTTCAGTTGTTTGAGAACTAGGATGATTATACTGTATTCTATGTCTTGCATTGACAGATTCATGAGAACAAAAAAAAAAGTCAACACTTTTTCAACATAAAAATGTCTTCTGTTAATAGCTCTATACAAGGTTGGGGAATAAGAGACTAATCATTTTCAAAAACACATTCAAATACTTTGCTAACTATAATGAGATGGCTGAAAAAGCCCTCTGGAAATTATAGCCTGGTAAAACCAATATTTTCTTCTGGGCTTTGTGAGTTTTCCAGAAATTACTAATAATTTAGAGAATCCTCAAAATAGACATAAAAAACATCTTATTGGCTGTAGATAGTCAAATTATGCTGAAAATGTGTTTTTAAAAATATAATACCCAGTATTATAACCAATTAAAATGTAAAAATATTTGCTACCACTTATTTAATTTTAAATAAATTTGGGACTTATCTGGATAAAGATACAAAAAATACTCTTATAGAATAATAAAAAGTTCATCTAGACAAATGAAATGAATATTTATAGTACTGCAAGTAGATTTGCTTGTGACTCACTGGAAAGACTATTTACTAAATAAGTATTAGTAAAAGCAAATATTTCTGCCATTAATATGAGATATTTTACTTTCTACGTATGAAAAATACGTATCAATCCTTCTTCATATTACAGTTGTTAAATGTGGAGCTTCTAAAATGTACGGAAGAAAACTCAGTATTCAATTTTAAAAATTAAGATTTTTTTTTAAAATCTAAACTATATGCCCATTATTGATAAAAATTATCCATGTTAACATGTACTATATGAATGTATAAATTTCTTTTTAAAACCTTGCTAATACATGTAATTTACTAAACTTAAGAAGTAAGTTTTTTTTAGCCTTACCCAATAGGCCTTGAAACAATAATTTCAACTTGAGGTTCTGATTTTGATTCTAAAATAATGTTGTAAACTTCTTCATTTGTAGCTCCCGGCAGGGGTTTACCATTCCATTCTAGAACTTCATCCCCTTGAATTTAAAAAAAAGGGTATTTTTTTACCTTATATATTATTTTTCTTTTTCTTATGTTTTTTCTTTTCTTTTAGCAAAAAAAAAAAAAAAACACAAAACATATACAAATAGTTTAAGTAAGTTCTGCTTTCCAAAGCAACTTGATTGTCATATAATGTAAGCTAAATGTCTCTTCTAAATACCTTTTTCTTTTCTTTGTTTATCTCTTTTTCTTCCCCCAGATATTACTAATCACCGGAAATAGTACAATACAAAACTATCTTTATCTTTTGAGATACACCAGAAAGAATATAAAAATAATCTCATGCTATGGGATGGAATCAGCACAGCCTAACTGAAAATATTAAAAAAATAATAAGAATCAGCAGCATGCCCTTCATACAATAAATGTAGGCGGCTCTATATGGGAAAAATTCTTAGTAAACTGCACAGAAATCCTGTTTTATTTTTGGTAAAAACAGCAATTAACATTGTCAGCATAACTTTTTTTTTTCAATTACAAATAATGCCTTATTTTTCTTTTCTTTCTCTCTTTTTTAACCAGATGCACAACAGAATAAAAATGCATGAAAGAATTTGAAATCGCACCCATAGGGTAACACAGGTAGCTATGGCAAAGTTACAAAGCAAGCAGATGTAAAACTTGCATGACAGTTAACCCACTTCCAGATGTTCAAAGCACAGACATTCTATACTTAATTTATGCTGTGAAGATTAAAGTGTAAGTAGAAAATATTTTGAGATAATAACAAATCCATACAGTACAGATTAGTTTGTTCAACAGTTCAAGATTAATCATGAGAGCCTTATAATATGTTAAAATATATGGATTAACAAAGTATGGTTGCTACTTTAACTAGAAATTTTACCATAGATCATTTAGGGAAAATTGTTTATTTTCAAAAACAGTTAAAATATTTATTTCAAAAATATTGACTTAATAGTTAAACAAGTTTTGATTCCAAGTGGTTCTCTGCTAAGGATTTTTGGATATACAACACCTAGAAGGCTGAGATGAAATTTCTCTCAACTCAAAGACACACGGAAGTGTCTTAATGTTCTGAGGTTCCCATATATTCTTGTCGTTCTCAGTGTCTAGAATGTTTCAGTAGCTAAGTAAAAATGTGCTACAGTAATTGTTAAACATCATTATACGTGTTAAAGTTAGGCCATAAGCATATTTTTTCTTTAAATTTTTGGCTTTTTATTTAAAAAGTAGGAAAAATTATTATAGCTATTTTAAAGTAATTGTTCTATTATAAGTAAAAAATTAACTTGTAATATTCAAAGTTACAAATACATATGTAAAAAATCACATACATTGTGTTTTCATGAAACATTATGTTTATCACAAAAGACTTCTAATGATTGGCTCTAAGTAGTTACCTGGAACAGTTTTCAAGCAGGCAATCAATATACTTTACCACAAAACAAGTAAATAATTATTGACTTATTAGGAGTATTTTCAAATGTTTTTGACTAAAACAAGTAAGTTAACATCATGGTGCTATATATATATATTATTTATTTATTTAGACCAGAAAAAGCCTGTGAAGTGATACTTACCCTGATGTTTCCTATCCTATTATGTTCTACAGAATTTTTAAAATGGTGGGTATAGTTTTAAAAATGAACAGAAATCAGAAATTATTTTTACCATCCAGTAATGAGCTAAATTTTATAAAAGCACTTAATAAAATTCTCTTTTATAGATAGGAACCTGCAAACAAAGTGCTTAATATCAAATTCACTGAATGCAAGCATTTACTTATCTATGCTTTCTTTAAAACTACATATGCATATATACCCATACATATCTTTATAAGCTGATATATATTTATATATATTTATGATATATATACATAAAATGTGTTTCAGCAGAGATGGAGACAAAGATGAAAATGAACTTCCTTCTTGGGTCCTTAAACATACTGGCACAGAAATAATCTAGAAGGAAAAAACTTTAATAAAATAGATCATCTTTATCTGAGGATCCGAGTGGAGGCAGGTGGTACTACGAAGTTAGTAATCAGTTACTGCCACAGGCAGGGGCCTATCAGAAACCACAGTTTAAAAGTAACTTAAGATGAGTTTTGAAAGGAATTCAAAAGCACAGCCAAAAGGTAACCAGGTAGACAGTTAACTCTATTTTGGAGGCAAAACTTTCAGAACATTCAAGACAGACTGCAATTGTTAGAGAATTGGATGCATCGGGTGATACAGCTAGAAAGTTATGACCAGAAAAACTGATTACCAGTATACAAAAAACCGACTTATTAGAAAGGAATTTATCAATGTCAATTTTATCTTAGATGGTTAAATCAAGTAGCAGTGCAGAGCACGGACTTAAAGAGGGATAAGACTGGGGAAAATTACGACAACATAAAAGTAACATCATAAATGTTGCAGAAAGATCATACTGACTTAAAATCACATGGTAGCTTTATAGGTGAATGATGTTTATATCAAGCAGAAAAAAAAACTTCCTAAATTGTAAGGCAAATCAAATAGCATGCATGATCCAGTATACATGAAATTTAACTCTTTAAATACTTCAATTTCTTAATGTGAAAACTGCACTTTCTACACTTCAGTTATCATTGTTTAAATTGGCTTTTAACGTTTTAGTATTAAGTTTCTCAGGCTTAGAGTTCATGAGATTGCTAAATTATTCATTAAAGATATTTACACTTAATTATTCATTGAAGGTATTTTACTAAAAACACCCCCATTTTAGTAACTTAAGTATTCTATCAAAGCAAAAATACAAAATCAAAACCTTAAAACTGGATATGCAAGATGAAGTTTAACACTTGAAAATATAGCTTAGAGAGGTTTATCCCCATTGTGTTATGGGTTAGCAATCAAATCCACAGCTTAGCTGACTTGAAGCTCTTTTCATTGGTAAACTGCATACAAACACTCTAAAAAAAAAAAGACTTGTACTAAACTCTAAAGTAATCATTTGGAATAAATATTTTAACATGGTGTTAACTAAAGTGAAAAGTAAACAACCTACCAAATTAGATTTTAAAATGTGTTATTATGTAATGTATAGTGTATTTGAATACATAAATCATTTTACTATGTCGTCTGCAAGTTACAGAACATAAATTTTCAAGTACTGAGAAATAACACATCAACATGACTAAAATGCATCTCATTTAAAGTGACAAATATTTTATTGCAAAATTAGCCTAAAAATGTGGTTATGATTATGTTTTCTAAAAAGATGACTTCAGTAAAAGTGCTTTTAGGACATTATGAATAACTTAAGTCATTACTCTAGCTAAAGTTGTCAACTAATTAAATGATAAAACATTTACTTAACTAAGAAGTTATTAGATTTTAAGTTACATAGCAATACTACAGATTCACCTATAAAACTGAAAACTCTTAGCATTTTGCACCTATTTCTTTTTACATGACTAAAAGATTTTTGTTCCTACTTGCTCCAATTGCTATGATAGGTGGTATCTATTTTTGCAACATTCATATCAGGAAAAATAGTTGTACTCATGCATTAAATTAGTTGACTTAATTTAATACCATATAAATATATATGCATATATATATATATATATATATATATAGTTAATCCCAAGCTGAAAATTACCAACTAACAAATAATAAATGAACTAAGCGTTAAAGAAGAAAGTTTACCTGCTCTTAGATGTCCAACTACATCTGCTAGGCTACCCTTCTTTACTTTGGTGATGAAAGCACCAAGGCGTCCTAAGTCAGTCATTTTTCCTCCAACAACCTGCATAATTACAAGTGTGTAAGTTCCCAAGACTCACGATGAAATAGAAGTTTATTTGCTGAGGTACTAACACATATTCATTTATAATATACTTACAATGAGTGTAGGGACTTCCGTAATAAAATACATTTTTACTAAAAATGGACAGGTCAGTAAGTATATTGGTGGAAACAAAACATTTCTTTGTTTGTGATGACTGCTTATCTTAACAGAATTTGGGTAATGCTCTCCTACACTACCAATAAAAGGATACTGTGAATAACATACACACTTAAACCTAAAGATGGCTGTCAGGCATCTTTATACTTAATTTGAAACAGCAAATGTTTAGCATAATTTATAACAGTTTATTTTTTCCTTTATTACTTAAATTCATGTCTAGATTATTTCTACACAAATAAATTACTCCCTTGTTATTGTCTATCATGTTCCCATTTACCTATCTGTAGTAGAATGTTATGGCCAAGACCAGAAAGATTAGGGACCTAAGCTATGGACAGGCCACTTTGCAGATGTAGTTTAACCACGTTTGAAAGCCAAAGTGTACTTCTGCCAAGTAACCATCTAAATTACCTCCTCATGTGAAACATAAACCTGTGTACATTTGGCTCTTTAATTCTGAGTTATGTTGTTGAATATTTAACAATTCCATCCACTTGTTTGAGTCTTCCTAATATTAAATATACCTAAAACAAAACTAAGTTTCTAGGGTTTCAAATATTATAAACAAAAGTGAGAAAAATATCACCATCTGTGGAGGTTAAGCCACCAATTCTTAAATTCATCAATGAAGATGACTGAAACTTTTTTATGCCAAGAGGAATTAATATTGACAATAACATAGTAACATGTGCTTTAACTATTTTTTGGGGTGGGGGGGTGTAATGTTCCATGATTTTAAAGAGGTCAAATGATTATCTAAGTGTAAGGTATTCTCTTGATAATAGCTGTAAAGCAGTATTTTTAAAGATTCAAGTCATAAAGCAAATTAAACCAAGTTAAACTTAATGCACATATATCTACACACATGTAAGATAAATCACTCTATGTATATGTATACATATGTGTACCTATGTGGTTTTTTAAAAGTAAGATATACAATCACTTTTCACATCTGTTTAAAGACAGTATCTTAGAATAATTACTTTTCTTTTAAAGATTTCCATAAATACTACTGTGATGAGGAAAAATTATGTTTTGTTCTGCTAGTTAAGATACAATAAAGGTCCACCTTATCTAACTTTACAACTTTCCATTAGTATCATTGAAGTGTAAAAATCACACTTGAATTTGATATTCACAGAAAGGCTCTTGAATTTCACCGTTTCATTGAAATTTCTTGGCCCCTGTCTATGCTCTCTTAGTAAAATGATTTAAGAACAACAATCTCGATTGAAATACCAATGCCAGGAGGCTGACTTACTAATAACATATTTTTCTTAGAGCAATTTAATTTTACAGGAGAAGAGACGTTTAAAATGGTCAGAAAGTTCACTTGAATACAGTCACAATGACTCTCCAAGAAACACACTGGGGCTGATGTTGTACAGTGGTGTAATGGCTTAACCTGTTGCCAGTAACACCAGTATTCCATATTGGCAGTGGTTTCAGTCGTGGCTGCTCTATTACCAATCCATATCCATGCAAGTGCACCTGCAAAAGCAGGGAAAGATAGTTCAAGAGCTTGTAATGCTGCCTGCCATGTGGAAGACCCAAGAGAAACTCCTGTCTCCTGGTTTGGCTTGGCCCAATTCTAGTTCTGTGAATTTGTGTAAATCTGCCTCCTTGTAAATCTGCTTTTCAAATCAACAAATAAATCTTAAAAAAAAGAAAGAAACAAACATGCTAAGTCAGTACACTTACTTTCAGACCCAGTAATGCACCTGATTCTTTGGGCATGGTTGTTCTCTTGTTAAGAATAACACGTCCAATCAATCGGTCCCCTTCTTTAGATGGTTGCCACGTTACAGGATGCTATTGAGGTACAAATAAAGTTTAAAAATATTTTTTTTCTTTCAGACACATAATTATTAGTTGCAGCATGTGTTTCTTCAGCTAAAAGATACTCAAAGAACTGATGCTAAGCACAGTAGTTGACACCTGCAGCTTCTCATAACAGAGTACCTTAGTTCAATTCCTTGCTCTTGTTTCCAGTTCAGACAGGGTGTCTGAGGTGATGACACCAAGACTGGGTTACAGCCTCTTACATTCAAGCCAGATGTCTGGCTCAGCCCTGACCCAGCCCCAGTCAGTGTGGACATTTGGTGATTCCACTGAGGATGGTCTCTGCCCAACTATCTCTGTTTTTCAAGTAAATGAAAAAATAGTTGAATACTTTAAAATTCTTTAACCTATCACTTGTACTCTCAATCTCATATACATATAATCATTATTTAATAATTTGCTTAAATTATGCTACAGTATTCAACTATAATTGTTTTCTCCAAAACTGCACTGCCCTAAATTAAATCAATCTTCATTCTCATAAGATGTATACTGGAGAGGGCCCCATGTGATGACTCAATTGGCTTGCAAACATTGGCATTCCATTTCAGCTCCAGTCCATGTCCTGGCTGCTCCACTTTCCATCTGGCTCCCTGCTTGTGGCCTAGCAAAGCAGCAGAGGATGGACCAAAGCCGTGAAACCCTGCATGGGAGAACCTGGCAGAAGCCCCTGGCTCCCGGCTTTGGATTAGCTCAGCTTTGGCCATTGCAGCCATTTGGGGAGTGAAACTGTGGAAGGAAGATCTTTCTTCTGTTTTCCTACTCTCTGTAAATCTGCCTTTCCAATAAAAATAAATAAATCTTTTTTAAAAAAGATGTAAACTGGAACAGAAAATATTACTATCTATCACATATGTGACAAATGACATGATGGTACACATGATCCTTGAACTCTAAACACTTCCTATAAAAACTTACCGAACTAATAGGGGATGTTTCCCGGCTATGCCATGTAGCAGGATCCAACCAGTAATAATCCAAGTCACCTACAAAATTAAAAAAGGAATGAAAAGCTTAAAGGCATTAAAGAGAAAACAATGCTTCATCAATCTATAAATGATTGCGAATATTATAATTTTGAAGTGTGTATATCCTAGAATGAGACACTCTGTATTGCAAAGTTTGCATTCCAAATCACTGGAATAAATATGTGATACAGATTCACTTTGTGCAAAGGAAGATCTACCTTTTCTCTCATAAGTTAGCTAAAAAACACACAGGTACAAAAAAAAATGGTTAATCCACTCTTTCAACTTTCAAAGGATTATCCAGGCTACAAGCTGCCATCTAGTGGTGCTAAAATATCATTCATCAAATTAAACACTGCAAAAATATCACACTAATATAAGGTGACAACAATGCAGGAGAGAACCTGGGTGTGAGATTTTTTGGGAACTTTTCTTACTATTTCAGTTTTTATTTCATAAATTGAAATCTGCTCTGTCATAAAGTGCTAAGACTATGTTCCTCTACTTTCCTTTAATGTATCTTTCAAAATTATTCTCTGGTCCCCATTTTCCTTCTTAAACTGAAAAAGCATGACCTGCATGTTTTCAGAACATAGTGACAAGTAAGCTAAATATCAATAATAACATTTAGCAAAGGAGGATACACCAATGACGAACTATTCATTTTTACTAAAACGACAAGTCCTACATTTGTATGAAAATATGAAAATGCAGCCTTTAGTTTTACTTTTAAATTAAAATACAATGCCAAAAAGTATCCAAAGACAAGAAACTTTTAGTATGCTGATAAGAAAAAAATACAGAGAGTGGGTGAATCTATGTGAGAAGAGCATGCAACAAAATCAAGGGAATAAATGACCTTTCATATTCTAAGTATCAGTTGATAAAACAAATACCTTCTACCCATGAACCAAAAATAATTGGAGAGTAATTAAATCATGCCAGCTGAAATTGAGACATTTTGCTAATGGGGGAAATATGTGTGATTGTCATAAACAGAGAATTTTACAGGAAATGACGGGTATGGTAAATATTGATACTACAAAGGAAATGAAATAGTAAATATTGAAGTCTTTAAAATTTCCAAACATTAAATCCATACACTTCAATCTCTTAGTGGCTTTGTCTCTCATCCTCTTCTACATTTCAGATACATCACATGCAAATGTTACATATGCTACAAAATACATGTTTTTTAAATATTTCATGTAGAAAATTGGAGTACCTCCTTTGCATGGAGTTAATATTAGAAACCACATTTGCAAAAACTGGATTATTTTAAAATTTTCTTACTAGAACATTTAATATCTGTGTTGAAAAGAAGTAGTTTAACTAAATTAGCATACACAACACTTTCAATGCATAAATGACATGTGAGACTTTCATAAACCAATGTCATGTTTAGAGTCAATGTATTTCAAACATCAATGTCATGTTTAGAGTATATAACATTATATAAAGATGCATCTCCCTGTTTTAAAATTTTATATTTTATGATCTATTGTCAATCATGATGGATTTCAATAAGAATCAATTTTAACCAAACAAAAGCTCTCTAAATACATGACTCTTTGTGATTACATTAAAACTAAGAAAACCATACCTCATTGTATCATAAAAAAATGAAAAAAACATATCTCTAGCTTCTATATTAGATATCTTTAAAATTTTATGTGACAGTTATACTTGACTAATGGAGTGCATAGAAACGTGCTTTACTAAAGGAAAGGTTATCCATAAGAAAATCTTTAAGTATTCGTATGTTTAAAAGAAAAATAATGATGGTAAAATGGAACTCAAATTATTACCTCACGGTAATTCATTACAATTTCTGTAGTAACTTGTAACTGTGCTACTTACTATTTAAAAATCAGCTGAAAATTTCACAGATTAAAAAATCAGAATGATTCTTAGAGATATTTTCTGAACTTCAAAAATATCCCCTTTTCTTTAGTTCTCTACAGAAGAATGTAGAAGGCATTTGAAATTAAATCATGAATTGGGATGAAATTAATCATATGGATTCTAAACTATCAAACCAGCATTTTCATGAAATATACTTATTGGATGTCTGTATTATGGATAAAAGTCCATTTAGTTTTCAAAATTTATTTTGAGGGATTTTTGTTTTTTTCTGTTTGTTTACAGTAAGTACCATGGTCCATACAATTAAAATATTCCTTAAGTTACATTATGAGAAAATATCAGCATTTATTTCAGTTTGGGGCTACACAATATGCACAGGAGGGTGTACTGCTCAGAATGTCCACATTCTATAGCACTGTGCCAACTTAAGACCAGACATCTCTGCTTCTGACCCAGCCTCCTGGGAATGCAGGAGATGATAACTCACGCTACCTAAGTTGGAGTTCTGGGCTGATGGATTTAGTGTGGCCCAGTCCCAGCTGCTGCAGGCATCTGGAGACAGAACACTAGATGGGAGGCAATTTTTTTCTCTATTTAATAAATCTTAAAAGACTATAATTTTGTGAGTTAAAGTCAGATTGCTCATCCAATGCCTCACTTCCAAAAAGCCTCCAACAGGTGAGGCTGGTCCATGTCTAAGACTAGGACTGGGAACTCTGTCTGGGTCTCCTGTAATACTGGTTGGTACCTAAGTTCTTGAATCACCACCTGTTGTTATACAAGATGTTCATGAGCAGGAAGTTGTAATCATGAACAGAGCTGAGAACTGAACCCTGCAGTTCTGACATGGAATGTGGTCAAGCCAGATAGTATCTTTACCAGGGAAACAAATTCTCACCCTTAAGAGGCTATTTTGGATAACTAAATATCTGTTGTAAAGTCAGCAGGTTGTCTTTCATAGTTGACTTATCAATCATGACAGTCAGGGTAAATTTCTAATCTAGTAAACACATTAGTCTTCAAATGCCTTTTCAGCTATTTCATCCAAAATCTACACCAACACTCTCCAACTACATCTGAAGGCAGTGCATTATGATGCGTGAAGTAGGCCAGACACCTAAAGGCACATTGGATATGACATCACCTACATGAGAATTCTGAAATAGTCCAACTCAGGGAGTAGAGAGTAGAATGGTAGTTATTAGGGGTTTGGTTCTGAGGAAACACAGAGGTATTCAATCACAAATTACAGTTTCAATTATAAAAGATGAATACATCTTAAGTATCTGTTGTACAGCACAATGCCTAGAGTTAATAATATCATATTGTATAATTGAACATGTGCAAAGAGAGTATGTCTCATGTTAAGTGTTACTGTCAAAAATCAAACTTTGGAAGAATACCTGAACATGATGAATAGATTTATAGCCCATATTTTGGTGATGGTTTCCATAGAAGACTCTGTGTGTGTGTGTGTGTGTGTGTGTGTGTGTGTGTGTGTGTGTATGTTTAAACTCACTCAGGTGTATACAATAAAAACAAATGACAATTTAATAGAGTAGGTACATACCAATAAAGAGCTTTAGTTTTTTCTTTAATTAACAGTAACTTGACATTTATGGGTTTATTTAGTTTTTGTTTTGGACAGGGCCCAAAATACAGGCAGCAAAAGCAAAGCTAGACAAAAATGGTGTACACATACACACACACATACATATGTATATGTATATAAACATGATATATACATGTAAACATGTATGATATGTATTTGCATTAATATATCAAACACAGCAAAGAAGCAACCAATAAGGAAATGAGAGAAAAGACCTGCACACTTGATTATGTTCTCTCTAAAATCAACACAACCATTCTTTCATTAATATGATTTTTGTGATTCAAGTAAAATGAATTATGTATAAACATTCATTCATATAAACAAAATTATCATTCAGTAAATTAATGATGTGTTAAAGACATCTGTGGCCAGAAATTATTTATAACAAATAGAACCCTCAGGGCTGAACAACCTACCAACAGTGCTCCAATATCTGGCTAAAACCTATGCTATCATTTTGATGTTTTGTAATTTAGGGAACAAGGAAGAAGGTTTGTAACTGGCCCTGGCAAAGGGACTGGCATTAACAAATTTGGTGCAAATGATACTTGTATAGCTAAAATATTGCTTAGAAAATCTGAGAACTGATTTTTCAGATGGTAATACCACATTCACCATACAAATCTACAAATTATTTACCAGGAACTCAAAATCAAAATTTCAGGCCCGGCGTGATAACATAGCAGCTGAAATCTTCACTTTGCATGTGCCAGGATCCCATATGGGTGCTGGTTCATATCCCGGCAGCTCTACTTCCCATCCAGCTCCCTACTTGTGGCCTGGGAAAGCAGTCGAGGATGGCCCAAAGCCTTAGGACCCTGCACCTGCATGAAGACAGGCTCTGGTCTCCTGTCTTCAGATCGGCTCAGTTTTGGCTGTTGCGGTTGCTTTGGAAGTGAATCATCAGATGGAATAGCTTCCTCTCTGTCTGTATATCTGACTTTCCAATAGAAATAAAATAAATCTTAAAAAAAAAAATCAGAATTTCTGCCTGAACTCTGGGCTCAATCTCCCAGATAATCTTTTCATTCTGGGGATTACTACTGCGGTATCTCCTCACTTCAGTTATACTAAAAAGTATGTTCAATAGTAATACTAAGAAGCATTCCTATCAATTCTACTAGCATATAAACTTAAGGAAAATACTTAATTGTGCCCCAGTTTACTTACCTTGAATCATTGTACAACTCTTTATACATAATTTTTCTGTTAACATACATTCTTTTATATTTATTATAATGCTGTTTCTAATGAGGAACCAATGTTGCAGGGCACTGAGTTAACTCACTGCTTGCAATGCTGGCATCCCAAAGCAAAGGGCTGGTTTGAGTTCTGGTTACTTTGCTTGTTTTGATTCTGCTTCCTGTTAACATGTATAGGAAGGCAAGAGAAGATGGCTGAAGATCTCTTGTTAGAGACCAGGAGGGAATTCCTGGCTCCTGAATTTGGCCTAGCTCAAACCTGGCTGTTGCTACCATTACGAGTTGAGAGACACTGAACAGAACATTTCTGTGTCTTTCCCACTTTCTCCGTCACA